TTCTTTGTCACATTTTCTGCTTAGCTTGAGCTTCTCGTATAATTTACAATCGTGTCTTGTGAACTTTGCGCTTGATTTACACTTGGCTGACGTCGGCATTTGCTTTGTGTTTTGTAGCGCGCCAGGCAACACAGCAATGAATGCCACATGCCACATAGCAGCAGAAACAGCAGAACAGCAGCTGCGGCAGCGACAGCCGTTGGGTGTTCATCTCCTTTGTGGCCCTGTTGTTATTTACAACGTGGCTGGGCGGACAATATCGCAATAGCAGAGCAAAGCAGAGAGTAAATGGCGCTCAGTTAATTTGACGTGGGCCAAATGGCCTTTATAGGGCGTGCAACGTGGCGTATGCGCAACAATTGAGGAAATGACTGACTGCCTGACTGACTGGCTAATTAGACACCCACCACATTTGACGAGTGACATACCACTATCCCGCCTAGGGGAGAAGGAAGAAGGAAGCAATAGGCTCACTAGGCAACCAGGCTCCTCTCTCGTGAAGCTGTACGACAATTTAAAGGCCAAAAGCAGAGTTGAAGCGGTTTCAAATTTCACTTCATAAATCAAATTACTGTTGGAAAAGTTTCAAAAGGCAAAGCCCCACAAGAGTTGTCATTCTTTCGACTTATAGTACACTTCTGGGGCCAACGATTTTCCACGCAAATGCAAGTTTTTCATGGCATGTAAATGCTAAATTAATTTGCACAATTAATCAGCCACGCCATCTGCCATCTCCCATCTCCTGTCTCCCATGAACCATCTACCAAACAAGTATGTGGTGGCTGGTCCCCCAATGTGCAGTTGGTAGCTCTGCCCTCAAGCAATGGCAACTGTCACAGAGGAGTATTTTCCATTTTCATGGGGTTGCCTTTGAAAGCGCATGAACATTTTCATTGCAATTAAATTTGGCACAGAAAGTTTGAAAAAAAATAAAAATAAAAAAAATTTAAAAATGTCGTGTTACTGTCAGTCGGAGAAGAGTGAAGAGTGCTCGCCAAAATGTTGCCATTTGCATTGCCACTTAAACACACATAAAGGCGAAGCGTGGAGCAGCAGGCAGGGAGGCAGCACCCCCCACACACACACCACACACACACCACACACACACATATGTAATCGTGGAGTGAAGCTGACGGTCGCCGCCCGGCACGCAAATCGAGTCAAGTTGAATAGGCGGAAGTAGAGCAAGAAATGCGATTGCCAAATTGAGTTGAAGGTTTCGCTTGACTGTGTTTTGTTTGGCCAACTTCATGGGCTTGACTGCGCTGCGCCCTTTGCTGTCGCTGTCGCCAAAGTCTACGCTCCCCGTCCCCGTCGTCGTCGTCGTTGGTTCCTTCTGCAGTTCCCAGGCACTTGGCACTTTGCTGCAATTTTGTAGTTTTGATAAAATTTCGCAAGCATATTAAAAAGTTTTGCCCAACTTCGTTTTTACTTTTGCACATGCCATACGGAATTGAATGGGATGGGAATGGGATGCGATGGAGTCTAGGGATGGGTCTGAGGTCTCGGTCTGACTCCGACTCTGGGTCTGGGTCAGGAGCGTACCGGTATGCGGCAGCAGGAGGCGTGTCTCTGCACATGCCACTGACAGCCCAAAGAGGAAGCTGTACCTTATGGCCCTGCCAGCCACGGCTTGTTTGCTGGCAGAAAAAAAGGACAAAAAACTAAAAGCAGTGCACTTTGCTGTGCTATTTTATTTTGCCGCTCAAAGGCCCTGACAAGCTGCTCCTCCTGAGCGAGCGGTGCACAGGGGAGGCGCATAGAGTCGAGACATATTCTAGGCAAAAACATTTGCAACTTGCTTATATGAAATAACCAATTAAATTTTGAAACGAAAGCAAATGCAACAAATGAAATAACGTCAGCAACCGAAAGAGCTCCCACTTGCCTGATCCTAATTAACAGGATATATTCGTCTATAAAATTGTTTTCAATAAATCCATCCAACAATTCATGCATATCCGTACAATGTACATACATATGTGCCACAAAATTAACTTTATTCGCGAGTCCTGCCTGGGAAATGAAGCATGAATATAGTACCATTCGTTTTTAATTCAGTTATATAATTAAATGAATTCCTGAAATGACACAGGCTATGGCCAAAAATTTCCACATAGTTTAGTGTTCTTTTAGTTATGGCTGCCACTGCCACTGCCACAGTAGACTGTACTGAAAATTAAATCCAATTGAGTGTTGCATACTTTTGTGCTGCTGCTAAATTTCTGTCGAATTATGGATCTGTATTTTGGCTCTGTCTCTGTTGCAACAAAAGCGCATTTCTGCACAACACAATACATAAATCTGCATTATTGAAAAGTGAATGTCACCTCAGCTCCGGTCCCCCGAGGCCACCCCATTGTGCTGCATAGTTGACTTTTTTCAGCCTCAAATGTGGCAGAATATTTTAAAGCGCCACAAAAATCATCATTGGATTGTTGACCTACTTGACTCGCCAGAGTGTCAGCCGAAGTTTCATCCGAGACGAGACTTTTTCGGTATGGCGATTACATAAGGACTTCCTATCAACTCGTTAGTTTGTTAACGGCTTGTTAGGATAATGGCTAAGTCGATGCACAAGCACAAGCACAACTAGAAGTTGTTGAACACAGATTTTGCGAAGAATGAAAACTTTTTAGGTTTTCTTGTTCATATATTTTACTAATAATCAGTTTCTGGCCAATGTCATTTGCTATTCCAGTCATAAATAACTAATTCGATATGATTTTGTTCGCTGAATTACAAGAAAGAGGTCGACAGAAGTCTCGCATGACAAAAGCCAACTATTAAAAAAACGCTATTAACGGGTCCGACTCGTAAATTATATTCGCATTGTGTTTGCCTTTCAATGCTCTCAGCCGCAGCTAAGCCTGGCCGGCATTCACACTCGCACTCGAATTCACATTCACTGCCGCTTTCGCACTCACATTCACACACATTCACATTGTCAGGGCCTCGTTAAGCAAACACACAACGTTTGAAAAAAAGCGAAGCGGGAGTTCCCCGTTCGGTTTGTCGCTGTGGTTATGCGCGCTATTTCACAGATACACACCGCCACAGACACACAATAAAAATGATTGCATTGGCAAGCGCTGACAGGCGAATGGAGGGGGGTTAGTCCTTGTGGAGGAGCGAGCACATCGACCGGTCTGGGCTGCATTTGATGGATGAGTTTGAAGCCACCAACCAGATGTGACAATTCAAATGCCAAAAATTCAGCACGCATACAGACGAACGTCAGCCCAGGCCAGTGGCGTAGTACCCCAATATACTCGTATATCATGGCCCGGCTTGGATCCCCTTCCGACCGCGCACCTGCTCTCGCCGAGACCCTAATATTTTGTGTTAAAAAATGCATCGAACAATATGCGAGCGAGGGAAACGCACGAGTTTTTATTGAAATTGAATTGTTGATAAGTTCTGTCAACACAAAACGCAGCTGTCTATGAAAGAGCGCAGGGCTAACAAAAAAATAAAACCTGCATTGGGGAAAAACGAGCTGCTGCCGTAATTGATTTGCTTGATATTGGTTTTGAAGTGCAGAGAGCTAAGCAATTACACTTTTTGCTGTGTTAGTCCCTCCCTTTAAAGAGCTCCTCTTTGGGTTGTCAAAATCCAACATATCAGGGCTCGCATAGATTAGTCCCACTCGGGTTCTTGTTGCAATGTCGAGTGCCATTTGCTGGGTAGGTAGGTCCTTAGCCAACATCTCTCAGCTGGTTAGGTTTGAGAGCCGAGCCGGCAGTTCAAGAGCCCCCAAACCACAAACATTTGGCATTTTATTCGTTTCCTGCTGCCTGTTCTGGTCATTTTGGCAACAAATGTTGCCAATGCTGCGCCACAATTCGTTTAATTTGTGGCAGGCGCTCTGTCCGTGATAACCCACATTGGGCCAGGTCCAGAACAACATGTTGCTGACCCAGAGAGAGGCCGAGACCCGAGACACGAGTCAGCTAAGAGAGAGCGCCTGCGCTCTGGATGCAGCAGAAGAGGCGATGCTGTAGCGACTTTCCTGGCCAATTACTCAATAGAATTTCTCAATTGCTTCAAACGCGCGACTGTTGACCATAAAACGCCTAACTCTTGTTCGCTGTTAAATGAGCCCATTGCCAGACACAGAACAAGGCCTTTAATTGCCCGATGGACCAGTGAGCCAGTCAGTCAGTTAGCCAGTCGGGCAGAATGTCAGGCAGTTCGTCGGCCCGACAGCCATACAACCTGCCATTTGTTGACTGGCTTACAACTGTCAGTGGGGCCGAAACATTAGCAGACATTAGACATTAGACTTTAGCCTGGGACTCGACTGACAAATGGCAGACACAGACGCCTGTCTCCAATGCGATGCAGACCAGACTTTAACCCATTTGGTCTAACTAGCTTTAGAGCCCATTGCCGACGAAAAGCCAAATGCGCGCACATCAAAATTTGTCAGATTTTGTGTCTGGCCATCAAAATACTCGTACTCTTGAAGTAGCGGCTGCTTTGCCCCACTTGAAGAAGCACCTGGAATGTCTGAGAGCGTTTCAAATTAATCAAAGTACACAAAAACCCTGAACGGTAGCGAACGACAATTGCAGACAGAGTCGAAGATGGTGTCGGAGCTCCCGACAATTTATGGCAGGCACTTAATTTGCGGGACGAGACGCCGTGGCATCGTCAATGGTATTAAAGTCTTAAATTGGAAGTCTTCTGAGAAGCAACAACTGCTGCAATTTGCAGCTCATTTGAATTGCAGCCGCGTAAATCAAACCTAGACGCGTGCCACATTTGCCGCCAGCTAACAAATCAAGCGGAAAATTGAAATTGCTTGACAAGGACGAGGCAGAGCTCTAGCCCCATGAAAAAGCTCCGTTTTCGAGGCCTACACTTCCATTCAGACCGGGCAGTTTGAATCAGAGTTTCCCTGGAATTTCAGTCACATTCAATTAGTTACTGAGTTTATGTTTTAGAGCAAGACCTAAATACGTCGAATATTTTATAAATAAATAATAAATAAGTAATAAGTAATAAATAACGCGCCACAAGAATGTGGAAACTTAAAGTTTTAGTTGTGCACATTTTGCTGCTGGGCTGCATGATGAACATATATTTTCAATCAACTATTGTGCAGAACCTGGAGCCGCAAAAGACACTGCCAGAGCTGGGGTTGAAGCCGCCGGCCGATCGATTGGTGGTATTCATTGCCGATGGCCTGCGGGCAGAGTCCTTCTTTTCGGATAACTGCAGCGGAGTGCCACACATCCGGCAGCTGCTCGAGCAGCAAGGTGTGGTCGGTATATCGAGTGGCATTGCACCGACAATGAGCCGACCAGGACATATTGCCATTTTTTCTGGCTTCAACGAGGATCCGCAGGCGGCCATCACCAATTTCCAGTGGAATCTTACACCCTTCGACTCGATATTCAATCGCAGCCGCCTTGCCATTGGATGGGTACACCAAACGGTAGCCGAGTACTTCACCCGCTTCAGCAAAGAGCCACCGATGTTCGAAACGTATCGAGGAGCGGATTTCAGTGGCAGATTTATGACCGATACCTGGGTGTACGAGAAGGCCCGCGACTATCTGAACAACGATGAGAATATCCGACAATTGCAGAATGCCACACAGGTAGTGTTTTTGGTGTATCTATTTGATCTAGACAAGGCCGGTCATGTGTTCACACCGCTCAAGCCAGAGTTCCGGAAAAAGCTGTATGCCACACAGAAGCAAATACGGAAGACGTACGATCTGTTTGAGAGCGCGTTCAACGACAGTCGTACGGCCTATCTGATGACCTCTGATCATGGCATGTCCGACACGGGTATGTGCATATTCTTGAGACATCGAAAGGATATATAACTATTTCTCTTTTTTGTCACAGGCTACCATGGCGGGGGAACTGATCCGGAAATAGAAATGCCCTTCTTCCTCTGGGGTGCCGGTATCAAGCGCCAGGGACCCCCAACCGAGCAAAACTTCACAGCCAACGATCATGGACTCCAGTTGCCGCTGCAAGAACTCAACCAGATTCAACTAGCGCCGCTCATTTCAGCCCTGATTGGCCTACCACCGCCCATAAACAACCGAGCCCCACTGCCCCTGGGCTTCCTCAATGTGAGCGAAGAGTACGAACGGCAGTCTTTGCTCCTGAATGTCCTGCAGTTACTGGCACAGGCCAAGAGCGTGACGCTGCGCTTTGAGCGCAGCTTCTTTCACAAATGGCTGCCCAAATATGAGAAACTGGATACGGCACGGATCGCGAGCCTTCCCACTGAAATCGAGCACCTAATAGCAACAGGGTACGTCAAAAAAGCCATGCAACTTCTCCTGCAAATGTCCTGGTGGGCCCGTCAGTGCCTGGACTACTACCAGGACTACTATCACACTCCATTGCTAGTGGCCATAGGTGCCTCGTTCTTGGGCTGGCTATTCTGTCTGGTGGTGTGGCTGATGCGTGAATTTTCGGACCAGGAGCCGCAGCCGAAGATGGGACTCCAAACATGGGCGACGGCTCTGATGTTGCTACTGGGAAGCGTGCTCGAATGTTTGCTGTTCCTGCAGCGGGTGCCTTGCTTGACGTCCTTTTATCTGCTTCTACCCATCGGTATCTGGACAATGGCTCTGGCCGAACGCCCGCTGCATGGCATTTCTATTCCGTACCCTCTGATACACTTGGCCTGGACAGTGATTCCCGCCGGATTGGTGGTAGCGACATCATTTATGAACAGACATGTCGGTCTGATGTATGCTGGGGTTGCGGTTGCCTACAATCGGCACGGTTTCCGTCGACCCACTCTCAAGTTCTTCATCTGGCTGGGCACCGTTCTGCTTCCAAGTGGCTTCATGATTGTCAAGCAAAACTACAGCTTTGAATTGATGCCCAGCGAATATGTCCTAGGGTTCAGCATGTGTCTGGCCGTCCTCCTACCATGGATCTTGGGACACAAGCATCAGATGCGCGTTTGGCTGATCAATTCGTTCATTCTACTGATTGGAATCTACGGCATTTATCTCTCGGAGAATAATCTGGAGGTTCCACTATATTTACAGGTTGCCTTCTGGGCTTTTCTCGGCTATGCATTCTTATCGGTGCCATACAGCAATGCGGACACCCCAGAAAGCCGCCTACATTTGATTTCGTTTAACCTAATTGCGGTTCATGCTCTGCTTTCCCTGTCAACGGGGTCGCTCTTCAATCAAATGATGATCACCGAGTTTCTGCTGAGCCATGAAATTCATTCTGAGATCAATCAAGCCAAGAATAATGCAATATTAGAAACGGATGAACCGGAGTCCGATTCGAATAATGAGAATGCGAGCGAAACTACACAGAAGAATGAAGAAAACCCCTCAACTCCCCTGGAACACTTGAAGCTATCCTATCACTATGCCGCCTTCATTTTGTTCTACTTCTATCTATCCTTTTTCGGATCAGGACACTGGCTATTCAGTTTTGCTTTCAAGCCGACCACTTCGCGCCTGCTTATATCCAACTATTCCCCATTTATAATGACCGCTCTCATTATACTCAAGATATTGATTCCATCCATTATCGTCATATCGGGTGTATACACTTTTTCGGCATATGCCCGAAAAAAAAGCCGTGCCGTTTTCATCTGCATGTTCCTGATTAGCGATGTCATGTGCTTCTACTTTTGTTTCTATGTGCAAAACCAAGGCTCCTGGCACGACATGCGCCGGTCCATGGATCATGTCGTCTTGACGAACATTATTGTGATCCTGCTGCTGGGCTGTTCCTGGCTTATCAAGTCCTTTCTGATTGCCATCAAGCGTATTGCAATCAAACCACCCATCATAATGCAGGTGGTTATGGAAGGAAGCCCTGTTGCTGGCCCCACTTATCCCCAGTTTGATGAAAATATCCTGAACTAAAGATTTTCCTTCAAACTAATAATGCAACGAAATTATTGTTTAAAAAAATTAAATGTTTAATCTGTTTGCTCATGTTTGATTTTATCTTCACGGCGGGTAAATGAATATTCATATCTTATATGGGATTTTATTCCAACTGCACTCAGAAAAACCGGGCATGCTAAAATGACACACCACACACACAACATATATTCGGTTTTTACATACAGCCGAGGTGAAATTGAATAAAATTCGTTTGGATCTAAAAATATTGGCATGCATTTTTCAATATAAGTGTAACTATTCGATTCTCAGGGCGTTTTTCTCTGGCTGTAATAATACCATTGACAGCGTTTCAATTTCATTTCGCTAAGCAGTTAAGCCATAGTACCCGTATGCTAATGGGCCAACGGGGCGGATGTTTAATGTTTGTCATAATAATTTGTTGACATTTTCCTTTCAATGCGCTGGGGGGTTGGGGTTGGATGGTTGGTTGCCAGGGCAACGGTTGATTAAATGAGCTTTCTCCAAACGTTTAGCGTTCCCTTTGATGTAATTTTTTTTTTTCTGCCCTCTGACTTATTTTTTTCGCGGGTTATTTTCCATGGCCAGGCTCTAACAGCTTGTTGAGTTGAGTTTATCCTGTCAATATACTCATGGCCCAAATAGGGAAAAGAAAGAGTCATTTTAGGTCTCTGACTGGCATTGAATTTCGATTGATGGGATTCATCGGCCGCTGGATTGATAAATTGACACTTTGCTGATTAATTATCTCCAGTGAGAAATATGCTGGCTTGAATGTCCCTTTGCTCTACGTTGGCTTAAAGACTTTCCCTTAAGCTAAATGATGATCTAGTTGTCAGGAGCTGCAATTGATGGTCCTAAACACCTCTGAAATTATGACAACTATCGCAAGGTTTTTCTTTTAATAAAACTTTCGACGATACGCCCCCGCCCGCATATGCATAGGCAGACCAAATTTATCGTAGATTAATAAACTCATTAGAACTTTGCTTGTTTCCCCACTAGCACACGGAGAAAAACACAACTTTTGCCACGGATTTAATTGGAAAAGTTCGGATGGGCCGTAGTTTAAGGCACTCCATTTGGCAAGTTCGGTGGGAAATTCGTTAGTTGGTCAATATTCTACATTGAATGACGCCGCCCCTTGTAGAAGGTGTGCTTCTAAGAACAACCACCGCATTCGGCAGCCTGTCAACGTTTTGGCATCTTCATTTTCCGTGAAATCGCCCGAAGCGGCAAAGTAAAAAGAACCATAAAAAGGAAAAAAAAAAAAGAAAATGTTACCCAGATGAAGACAAAGAATTATGCCTTCTTGTCGGTTATTAATGAGCCACGGCTCCCGGGGGCATGTGCACTGAAACAACTTTCAATTTGGCCCACGCCTAATGAAAATGCATTTGAAAGGCAAAATGATTAATGTCAGCACCTTAAATTTTTTTGGGTTAACCGATCCGACCGCCACCGGCATCGCGACCGCCGTGGCCGCAGATTTAATTAACATAAAAATCCCCGCAATGCTACACGCCGGCAGCAGCAGCTGTCAAGTCCAAAATCTGCGTTGAGAGAACTCATCCGCAATTATTACTTTTTGGAAGTTAATTAAAATTTGTTTAGAATATAACAAAAATTGAATAGATTGTACAAATATTTAGAATTTAGAAAACATTTTTTTATCTGGTTGCTATTTTTCAATTATTGTGTTTATATTCGATAATTCCACGAAGTGTAAAATTCGGGCCAGCTGTTGCTTGTGTGGTTAGGACACCCTTTGTAGAGGGTATATCTCATTTGAAGGACCTTTCGAGTATCGACAGCTTGTATATTTTGTGGCAAATGGGTACCATACCTTAAACAGAAATGAATATGCTTCACTCCTCAAGATCATTGGCAGAAAAACGATCCATCTGTAAAGGTATCAAATCCTTCGGCATCCAAAACTAGACTTCTTTTATTCCTCTATCATTGTCCGCTGCTAGTTTTGGTGGAGCGCAAATTGTGCTCTGCCCGATGGCAATTTAATTTGCTATTAAAATGTTGCCTATCAAATCAATGAATCATGTGAGTGTGTGTGTACAAAGTTTATAAAATATGCTTAAAAGTTGTATGCAAATTTAATGAATTAGAATGCTGTGTGGTGTGTGTGTGTGTGTGTGCGTGTGCCTTTTTTTTGTCGATTTAACGGCCGACTCCCTCGAACGGTCTACATAAAATATGAAATGGAAAACCGACAAAATAAAATCCATAACCAACTGCTGTTCAATTAATTATTATCAGAATATTTCTGGGTCCATTTAGTAGATTTTTGTTTTGCCAATTGCATGCATTTTCATGTGCATTAGTTGAATTTAGTGAAAATGAAATAGTTTTTGGGGAATATCACAGATTGCAATGGAGCAGCAGCGAAGTTGGCAGTGATATGGAGCGCACTGGCTATATATTTCAATTGCATTATCAAACTGGATTAGCATTGAATGCTTTTAAGCTGCGAATAATTCTCTCGGCAGCAATAGTCAATTTGCATATGACAAAATATATGCAAAACTGCAACTGTTTCAAACAGTTTGGAAAAATAAAATTGTACTCGTAAACGCAGCGTCATTCGAAATTTCACCATTAAACCACCTTCAACCTCTTATAGTATGGTAAGGTATTCCAGCGGCAGTCATTCGATATCTGCCATCTTTAATATATTACTATAGCAGTTTCCATCACGTCCAGACCTGCAAACAAACATTCAAAGTCGTAATGGAGTACGCCGTGCGCATGTATAAATAACAAAATTGTGTTCTCCTGCTCTCGGGGAAACAGATCTCCTTTGTTTTCTATTAAACAATTGACAAAGTGCCTGTGTGCGAGAGTACTCCTGTTGTGGGCCGTGTCGTCTGATGCGACTACACATATAAATTATAATTTAATAAGAAAGCAAACGAAAAATTCAATGGCACCATAAACCATAAAAAGACGCTGAAAAGTTCTCGAGTGTGTGTGCACGGATGTGTGTCGAAAAACAATAAGCAAACAGCAGAAGTCCCTCCGCAACCAAATCCTCCCGACGGACTAAGATGAGGGTAAACATTGAAATCATCTTCTGTGGGAGCGGAAACAGCCAGAAACCCGAATGGTACGACGCGAGAGGACTCGATTAAGTGGCATAAAGTGATGATAAATGCGACATTGAGCAACAATAAATTGTTGGCCTTTGTCTCTTCTATTGTCTCTCCCTCCTCGTCGCTTATTGTTTCTCTGCCTGCTCGTTCGCACTGCTTGCCATTTACGTGTTTGACTTATTGATGCTGCGTGCCGGGATTAGCGATGAGGCGATGGCGACGGCGATGGCAGCGGCGGCGGCGGTGGTGGCTCACACTGCGTATGAGCAACGCAAATAAACCGAACAGCATAAAGCTCAGAGAGCAACGCTGATTAGCATTTGTTTGGGTGAGTACGGGCAGGATGTATGTAGGGGTGTGTGGGGGAGTGCGTACGAGTATATTTTTGGCGCTCATTCAATTGTTTATGGTAATTTGAAATTCATTGGACGGCAGTCCTCTCCATTTGATGGCACTGCAGACAACGCATTAAAGCTTAAATTCAATCAAAATTGATTTGTGATGCGAGTTTTCCTATCAATGCGAGTAGGAGTAAAACACGGAGATACCATTATAGGTCAGATCCTAGTGCCACAAAAATCAGTACAATTCCCTGGCGGACACACATTTGAACTGCATCTGAGTCACACTCTATGCTTCATTGCAGCCACGGCCACGCCCAGGCCCCACGGCCAAATGTAAGGGAGAAAGTTTTTCACTTAAAAAACGCGAAGTTGCCTCAACGCTGAAATTGTTTTCCCTTATTTTTTCCCTCTCTCTCTCTCTTTCGCTCTGGCCGCAAGTTGTGCCACTTGCCACAGAGAAAGCCAAGCCATAGCCGGAGCCGAGTTCGAGATTACTTTGGTTTACATTGTGCTACGTTTGTGGTTTAAATATTGTATTAAGTTTGCTGGCTGGTGATTGGAAAGCAACTGCACATAAATAGAAAGAGGGAAGAGCAGAATTCCCATCGCAAGGCACTGCACCTCATGGACCACAAAACCCCAACAGCTGGCCGCATTTCATTGCAGTTTTGCATTATTTGCAGCTGAATCGGAGTCGGCGATCCATTGAAAGCCGAGTTAGCAGCCACTTGAGTTGCTTGCTCCCATTAGCCCTCCTCAGTAGCAGAGGCAGGAGTGCCACTACCACTACCACCACCAGCAGCAGCAGCCTCAGGATTCACATCGGTCCAGTCGGCCAGGCAATTGCTTAATTGCAACTTAAGCTCAATTTTCCTGTTGCCCCCACCCCCCTTACAATCTGCCAATCCTCAGAAGTCTTGTTCCTCACCACTCACCACCCGCCCTCGGTCTGTCCCTGACTGTCTGCTCGACTTGTTTGTTTGTTGCTGGTACATAAAATCTTGGCCAGCTCGCAATCGTTGCATGTAATGACTGGAATTTGCGGTGGCTCCAATATGAGCCAAGGTGATGGAGTGCTGAGGATTGTGCGAGGACGTGAGGATGAGCGGATGAGCGAGGGCACTCCAAGGGTACTGCTGCCGGGCCATAGATAAACACAGCCGCTCTCGGAAGCCCAAAACTAAGCCCTTCAGCCGGAGCCAGCTTCAGCTTTGGGCACTTAAAACCCAAAGTTGGCCTGCCAGGAATTAGAATCCTAAATGCGGCGTGTCCAGGGCAATCCTTAAATGCAGTTTAAGTGTTGTTTACCTGCGGCTTTTGGCAGCCGCAAATGATCCTTTTAATGCCGCAAATCCAGTACCGAACAAACATAATATGCTATGATTTTTCACTCCAATCTACCAAACAATTTTGTTATAAACTACTATAAATATGAATCAGGAGAATGAAGCTATTAACGCATCAGCAAAGGCAAGCGAATGGATGGCTGCATTGGATACGCAAATGGAACCGATTGATGCCTCAAACGAAGATGAAGAAACGACGCCAATTCCGGCTTGTTCGCTAAGGGAAATGGGTTACCGTGAGCCAAGAGGTGGCTTTGATAAGAAAT